CGGGTGTGATGGGACGCATGCGGACGTCCCTCTGGGGGCTTCGGTGGAGCTCCCTATGGGGCCACGAAGCGCTGTATTGGGTAGGTGAGAATGCAAACTTGGGCGTGCGGGACGCATGCGGACAGTCCCACTGGCAACGAAACGCTGTACTGGGTGTGGCGGTCGCATGTGGCCACCACCACTGGGCCCTTTGGTGGAGCTCCCTATGCGGCCACGAAACGCTGTACTGGGTGTCGCGGACGCATGTGGCCACCCCCCACTGGGGCCTTAGGTGGAGCTCCCTTTGGGGCCACGAAACGCCGTACTGGGTGTGGCGAACGTATGTGGCAACCCCCACTGGGGCCTTACGGGGAGCTCCCCATGGGACCACGAAACGCTGTACTGGGTATGGCGGACGCATGTGGTACCCCCCCCCCTGGGGCCTTGCGTGGGGCTCCCTATGGGGCCACGAAACGCCGTAGTGGGTGTGGCGGACGCATGTGGTACCCCCCACTGGGGCCTTAGGTGGAGCTCCCTATGGGGCCACGAAACGCCGTACTGGGTGTGGCAGGCGCATGTGGTACCCCCCCCCCCTGGGGCCTTCGGTGGAGCTCCCCAGGGGGCCACGAAACGCTGTAGTGGGTGTTGCAGACGCGTGTGGTGCCCCCCCCCCATGTGGGGCCTTCGGTGGAGCTCCCTATGGGGCCGGGGCCAGGACGAGGATGGTCCGTTCCAGAGCGCTCCGGAGCTCTCGCTGAGAAGGCCGCGGCGCTGTCGAGGGGGGCTTCGGCGGGGGCTCCTCCGCCTCCTCCTCCTCCTCCTCCGAGCCCGCAGACTTCTCAGGCGGCCGAGTTTCACGCTTATTCTATTGCGCTGCAATGGTCTACGGGTCCGTGCGAGTTGTTTGTGGATTGCAAGGCCTGCGTAGACTTCCACGGTCTGCCATGGGCCGAGCAGTGCTCACCCAAGCGTGCTTACGCTGGGATCGCACAGTTTTGCAGGGCTTTCTCCCAACAGTGCACCGTGCACAAAGTCAAGGCTCATCTCGACGTGGACGGGGCCGAAGATAGCTGGGAGCGCTACCTGCGCGAAGGTAACCACGCAGTGGATTTGTCGGCCAAGAAGACGATCTTGTCGCATTCCCAGCCCGGTGTGTAGCAGGTGGAAGATTTAGAGCGTTCTTTGGCTGTGGCAAGAGCTGTGAGGCTCCTTGCAGCGAAGTTGATGCCTCTGTGGCCTCGCCTGGATCTCGGCCCCAGTGTGGAGCGGATCCCTGTACCAGCTGCGCGGAGCGAAGGGCTGGGTCCGAGACATGCTTGGGCGTGGACGGGCAGGTTCTGGCAGTGCTCGTGTTGTTTTCGTGGTTCGCGGTCTACTGACCAGCCAACCGCTGGCCTCTGTAAGGGAGGACCAGGTGTCGGGATTCGTGGCATGGATGCTCCTGCTTTCGCGAGCCTGGGGCACAAAATGCTGTTTCTCGACGCCAGCGATGGTAGTTTTGTCTTCATCTGTTTGCGGTGTAAGAATTACACGGGCGGAGGCCAAGTGCGTGGTCTGCGCCAGCAGTGTGCGCCTCTTCCCGCCGTCGGGGCCCAAGGCCGCCGTTACGCGTGGAAGCTGATCTGTGCAGGGTCCCACCCTAAGCGGAGCGGAGTCACCGTCTCCGTGGGACCCTGGTGCAGGGAGGAGGAGGAGGAGGAGGTCCCCGCTCCCTCGTTTGAGCCTCCCCCTCCCTCGTCCTCGGAGGTGGAGGATGCAAGCGAGCTGCGCAGGGCATCTGTGGCCCAGCGCTTGCTCGGGGCCGCGAGCGCGAGCGCATCGCGGTCGAGTTTCATTTGATCGTGCTCGTTGCTGATGCGCCGCTGGCCAGGATACCTCGCGGTGCTGGCGTCGGCTTGCCAATGCGCACGAGTGCGGTTTGTTCCAGCCCCGAGGCCTTCGCCCTGCCTCGAGGTAGCATATGGGCTGCTGTTTGCGCTGCTGCAAAAAAAATCCTCCTCCTCCTCCTCCTTCTCCTCCTCTTCCTTCTCCACCTCCTCCTCCGGGGCACTCCGGAACGTTCTGGACGTTCTGGCGCCCGAGACATCCTCCATAGCCGCTGGCTCTCAGAGATTCTCGATGTATCCTCACCCGATGTTGTCTTCGTCCCAGCTTCGTCTTATCCCTGGGCCGGTTTGGGATACTCCCCGACTCCGCCGTGCCTCCCAGGGGCCTACGGAAGTGGCGACAGCTGCGCAGCCCTCAGGGAGCTGTGAGGTCTCAAATGGGTCCGCTTACTCACGAAACGCCGTACTGGGTGTGGCAGACGCATGTGGTACCCCCCCTGGGGCCTTCGATGGAGCTCCCTATGGGGCCACGGAACGCTATACTGGGTGTGGCGAACACAAGGTACCCCCCCTGGGGCCTTCGGTGGAGCTCCCGATGGGGCCACGAAACGCTGTACTGGGTGTGGCAGACGCATGTGGTACCCCCCCCCCCTGGGGCATTCGGTGGAGCTCCCTATGGGGCCACGGAACGCTATACTGGGTGTGGCAGACGCATGTGGTACCCCCCCTGGGGCCTTAGGTGGACCTCCCTATGGGGCCACGAAACGCTGTACTAGGTGGGGCAGACGCATGTGGT